ATATGACATTTGTATTGAATTAGAGTGGTAACTAGTTTTATGAGGGAACTAGTACTTTCAAGAAATTAAAAAGTTATTTTGTCGTGGTTTTAAAATGTGCTAACTTGCAAATTTGGCAAAGTTTACTTGGTTTGACGAAGAGTTTGTGGTATCGTGGTATAAATTGCAGAAGCAGCGGAGATTGCAGAAATTTTGTCAGAGTATGGGATTCAGCCCCATGAATATTCACCGGTGGTGAATGCTTTGAGGAAGAACCCACAGGCATGGCTCGACTTTATGATGAAGTAAGTTTATCATAATCTCTCTTTTTCTCTGATGATGCATCTAAGTCGAGATTTTCTAATATCATACTTTTATACTTGTTCTGTGTATGCAATGTTCAACTCTGGTAAGCCAATTAAATAATTGGTTGAGAGTTGGAAAAAAGACGAGAAATGTATGCTAAAATTTTATGAATAGTTAGTTATTTTCAAGATGGTCAAATTTCGAGTTTTTAGATTCTTATTGCAGTATGTGGTACTGGTGAAGAAAATTCTGATAATTTCGGACGTACAAAAGAAGCCCTACCTGAACACTAGAGATTTTAATTTCTGCTGCCTTATGGCAAGTTTTTTTTGAAAAAATATTGGATTGAGACGGACTTAAATGGAGCGATATGAACAGTGAGAATTTATGTCGATGGTAACTTGCTTGGGATTGAGGCATAGTTGTTGTAGTTCCATATGAGACTTGAGGGAAAAGAAGAGAGCATTTGAGTCCGACTTGGACCACAGAAGAAATCATGATTTTAGGAACCTTATCGCGACCTATACTTAATGGCAGGCCACTCAAAGTGGAGCAAACACTTTGAATAGTTTCTTGCTTTTCTTTTATGGTCCCTCCATTTAGTTTTGGTATTTAGCTGATCGACTACTCCCTTTCTGTCCCGTTCTTCAACTTTATTGAGTTAGTAGGATGCATAAGTGTACTTTGTCTGGTTTATCCGATCAATCATAGCTAAAATGTGGTCTCTATGCAAGTTGTTGTAAATTTCAATCAGAAGGATCCTTAAGTTTGTTCAAGGACATTGTCACTGTCGATAAAAATTTCATCTTGCCATAATTGTAAATATGATGATATTACTTTGACCTTGGCTTCTAATGGCGCGGACCTAGCTATAATAAGAATTTTTTTGTTGAATGACAGATTTGAACTTGGTTTAGAGAAACCGGATCCAAGGAGAGCGCTGCAGAGTGCATTTACCATCGCGATTGCTTACATCTTGGGAGGATTTGTTCCTCTGGTTCCATACATGCTCATTCCTATTGCAAGACAGGCTGTCGTCGCCTCTGTTGTGGTAACTATACTGGCCTTGCTAATCTTCGGCTTCGCTAAAGGCTACTTCACTGGAAACAGGCCATTTAGGAGTGCTTTCGAAACAGCACTTATTGGAGCAGTTGCATCTGCTGCTGCTTTTGGCTTGGCCAAGGCTGTTCAAGGCTAGGGAGTAGGGACCTTGACATTTCATGTTTCTTGTAATGTAGTTTTTGTTGTTTTCATCTTTTTGACTATGTAGACCTCTGCTCTCTCACTAGTTTTGTTTTGTCTACCATGTTATGGTTACATGTTGTGGCATTAATTTTGAATCGCGCTTTTTGTTAATGTGCATTTTGCTGTTTTCGTTGTTAAAAAGTATATTTTAGCACATCATATTCCATGATATTAGGGGTGGGCATGGTATCGTAGATACTGAATATCATATCAAAAATCAAATTTTTGATACTGCGGTTTTAGTATTATGGTATTTGGCGGTATGTGTTTTAAAAAAAAATGATATTCAGTATTTATGAATATATACAATTTATATATATTATTATAATACTAGCAAATATATAGAATAAAATTAGTACAAAACTAGAGTAATTATTTAGACGACGTTGAAACTTTGATTATTCTATCTTGATTGAAATGTCTTTTATGTGTAATTGATTAATGAAGAAAATTGCATACTTGTACTTTCTTTTGAATATTTCTACATGTGTAAGGTGTTAATATGATATAATTGAGACGTTTCTCAAAAAGGCGAAGGCATAGCTCTATTATATAAACATATGTGAGTTGAAGTCGAATAAACTATGATTACTGATTTAATCATACTTTAAAATATAGATGTCAAACTTTAAAAATGTGAAGCATTTTGAAGAACATTGTCAAAAGGGACTAAAAGATGATAATATCACACCATTTTAAGAGTATTTTGAGCTAGCTTAGCTCAACACTGATGAAGGGCTGCATTGTTTTTTGAGATTCATAAAGGGATGAAATAAGTTTGCTAATTCATGTGAGGTTCTTTAAAATTTGAACCAAAGTAAGAAAACTCTCCCGGTATAATCTTTTCTGTATCGTTCTAATTTTGTTGTAGATTATAATGGTTGTAATCCTTGCATTTGAAATTATAAAGCCACACAATTTGGGTCATTTGCACTTTTGGCCCTATTTTGTGTTGGTCTTTAATTTATGCTAGAAAAATAAATACATCATTGAGAAATTGTTTGGATAGTTTTTATATATCGTTTCATAATGTATTATATTATATATTGTATTGCTTTAATGAATATGATATTTAAATAGATTGATTTCCTGTGATTTCATAATACACACTAGCAGTCTAAAGAATAAACTTCAATATTACAAAAAAGATAGTAGGGTATACAAGGTAGTTATAGGGTAAAGGTAAGATAGGATTTTCAAATAAAACATAACGACAAGATGAGAAAAAGATAAGACATCGATGTGATCATACCGAATCAACCGTTACATAAAATAACATTTCTCATTATTACATAACAACACATTTTAACAACATGATGTAATTATATTCAAATAACAATCAAAATAACCATCGTACGCATAGTACCAAATACCACAAAATACAATAGGTAACAACTCAACAAAATGAATACATTCAAATTCTAACCAAGGTAGAGATGAACCTTAACAGCCAGAAAGAAGACACAAACAAGAGCAAAATAGAGCAAAGTATGAATCATAATTGAAGCTCCACTTGTATGAAAATTCCCAAATTCAACACAATGCCTATGTCCTGGAAGTTGGAATAATAGTCCTGGAGACAACAGGATGAACAATATAACTGAGACCAAAACTGGACCCCAATCCAACATTGTTATTTTCCTTAAATTTGACAACAAAAAAAAAGATTGTGTATTTATGTAGTTCAAAAAAGTTATGAATGAAGATGATGTGAGATGTGGAAATGGGAGTAGTTGTTTATATATATGTTAAGGTGAGAGAATATGAGACTTTGAATGGAAGAAAAGAACACCATCACTCTCCACAATGAGAGTGTTCGCGAGCGGATTTAAGATTTGAATTTGTATATGAAGGTGTTCAGAATATGAGAGCTAAACCACTTAATTTTGATTACGATTTAGTTTATACATTGGAAAACTACATAAAAAAGGCTAGTCTACTAGAGCAAATTAACATAACTAAAGATTTTTAAAAATTTAACAAAACTTAGATAAAAATATTTGATTTTCCAAACGGTAACACTTTTGCGTAAAATGAGACGAAAGAAATACTATTCAATTTATTCTACTTTTGAAATTATTATATATAACTTATACCAATTCAGTTAAACCTAGTAAATCATCAAATAAAAAGAGTTTAAACTTTATATCTTATCGATGTAAATAATTTTTTCAAATTACCAAGTCATCCAACCGATATGTACATATGAAGTTACTTAAAATGTAGATTTAAAATATTGAAAATAAGATATATAATTATTTGATAGTTAAAATACTACTACATATAGTATTATTACTTTAATATAAAAAGAATTAGGAAGTGTGAGAGGAAGCAAAATGTAGTCCTAGTAACTTGGATACTCGGTAGCCGTCCCATTTACCCTGCATGCTCCTTGCTTCTTTCCAACTTTAATGCCACGTTCTCATTTATTGCTCCCTCCGTTCATTTTTAATTGTCATGATTTTATTTTTTAGAGTCAAAATATAAAAATTTTGATTAATATTTTACGATGTATTTTTCATCATATTGATATGCAAGAAATTGCAATTTATAGTACTTTTAGTATAGCTTTTGAATATTTAAATTTTTTTGTTTAAAAATCGAATTAATGTAATCTAATTTAATTTTGAAAATCAGTCAAATTGACTTTCAAAAAGCGCAACATGACAAATGAAAATGGACGGAGGAGTACTCTGTATATTATTATTTTTGGATAATTTTTAATTTCAATTTTAACGTTTTATTGCCGTGAAATAGTTATATAATCACACTACTCCAATTTTAAAAAAGCTTAATGAAAGTCAAATACTCTTTCTTTAAATTCTACCAAAAAAATCTCTTGTACCACATAGTAAATTTTTTAAAAAAGAGTATAAATAATACTACACATGTTCTCTTCTTATTTATTTTCGTATTTGCTTTTACATACTTAGATTTGTGATAGGCTTACTCGAGCAAAGAGTCTATCAAAAATAAACTCTCTACCTTCACAAGGTAGGATAAAGTTGTATACTTGCTACACTCTCCCGATTCCACTTATGAAATTACATTGGATATGTTGTATTATTCTGCAATTGAAAATTTATACAGGCAGCTAACAATTTGTCTATTATTTTCCTAGTTGTACTGAATAAGATTATATAATCTCTTAGATAAAGTTCCCGTAACAAGAAACTCAGCAGACTCAATCTTTCACATTGCAGCAAATCAAAAGCACTATCATAATATTAAGCTCTCTGCAAATATAGTGCTGGTGTAATTAATTTCCATGTTTCACAAACACGCTAATAATGAAAAGAAATTAACAGCAAGCTAGCAATGAAAAGAAACATTTAAGAAGAAAGGCAATTGCTATGCATTTCAACAACGTAACCAGTGTAATCCCACACGTAGAGCCTGGAGAGGCAATTGGCATGCATGTCAGTTTCATAATTGACATTCTTTTCATCTGCAACAGTTCAACTATCAAATTACACAACACAAAATCTTGAATAATTGCACAATCACAAGGTGATGGTACTGTCAAGGGGATATTTTAGAACATACCCAGTGAGATCTTCTCCAAATACTTACAAAGAGTATTATATTATACTCGATTCACATTCATTTCCAAAATATTAGATTGATAAATACACAGGCAAATAGCCTTTACCTACATTTCTGCAATTCACAAATCACACTATAGGTGAAACTATAAGATAAATATAAGACTTCAAAGTGGGATCTTGCAAACTTATATGGCAGAACTAAATGTTATGATTCATGGGGAACTTGAGACCTTCCCATGGGCAAACGACAATCCTGCAGTAACATCAACCTAAAATTAGCAATTTACTAAAATTTAGAAAATAAGCATGTGTGGACACAAGATCCAAAACCATATTACATAATAATAATCATAACAAAAAAAGATTTTATCCCAAAGGGATCAAGGCTAAAGAAAGCATTAGTTGCCTGGGACAAGTTATGCTCTCCTAAGTTTACTGGTGGCTTAAAGCTGATCAATCTTACTGTGTGGAACAGGGCATCAATTGCTAAAACCTGTTGGGATCTTACTCATACGCAAGATTAACTCTGGACCTATGTTGCTCAAACTCTTTAAAAATGTTGACGGGTGCGTGTCGGATACTCCAAAAGTAGTGCATTTTGGAGAATCTGACATGGGTGAGGCAACAATTTTGGAAAGTCCAAGCAACATAGCTCTGGACTAAATGGGTACATGCTTTGTTTACTACATCAAAGGGAGACAGTGGGATAGTATTTCAACACCAGCTCAAGCTTGTTGGATGCTCAGGAAGGTATTGGAGTCCAGAACAATACTGGAGCAGGTGCACTCTCATTCTACTGATAGAATGAGCCTTACAAGGCAAATATATACAGAGTCCTAGCCCCTACCATAAGAGTTCCATGGGAGTACCTCTTATTTTCTAATCCTGCTAGACCAAAAGCCAGACTCACTCTATGGCTGCAAATGCATGGGAGGTTAGTAACTGTTGACAGACTACTCAAATGGGGAATGGTGCTTGAATCCAAATGTAGCTTCTATCAAACCTGTGATGAGACAGAGAACATCTATATGTTACATGTCCTTTTGCTAGAGATGTGGTGGATAGATTTCCAAACTGGATCCATCAACAGTCTCTTACAGGGAATACTTGGGAGCAATTCATGACAGGAGTCATTCAGAGAGCCAAAGGGAAGTCACAGCAGGCTCAGATTTTTAAAATGATCTACACAGAGTTTGTTCATGGCATATGGATAGAGAGAAATATGAGGATCTTTGAGAAACAACACAGACACTGGGAAGCCATTGCTCGAGATATTGCTTGTATTTGTAGTGTCTACAATACAGAATTTAGTCCATAGCTTCATGTTCTAGTTTGTTAGCTCATTAGTCTTTCTACTGACGGTGTATAGTTAGTTATGGTACTGTGAAAAAATACTTTGGTAATTACTAAAAAATTTAGTTACTAAAAAGAAAAAGGGATTGAGGCCAAAAAAGGGGATTAATGCATTTCAAAAGAGGCACCAATGGCATCCCTATGACGAAGTTCATGATCATACATTGGCAACATTGTGTAATATGTATGAGGGATTAATGTGCATCTGCCATAAATATGAGGAAATGGAATAATGGCAAGGTAAATACAAAACAAACCACAGATAACTACTTAATTCTCAAATCACGTTAAAGTAATTCATTTTTTTTTCTTTCTTTTTGGGTGAGGCCGGAGGGGATGGGGGCTCTTTAAGGGAACAGAAGAGACTAAAAATTAGGAAGACCAATTGCTTTACCTAGTCACTGAAGACACTCATAAGATCACCCGGTTGAAATTTTTGAAAAATCGCTGGACCAACTTTAGCATTTTCCATGACATTCATGTTAGGCTCCTGCTTAACTTTAGTTTCCTCAAGATAGTTTTTTGCAGTATTGAAGTTGCACATTGGCGAATCAGACTCATCTACTGCAAAACGACTGGGAATGGAGGCACATTTACCAACCCCAGGATTTCTCGTATGTCCCTGATCAAGAACCTGGCTTGAGTTAATATAATATGGAACTGGCGAGCCCAAATGGTTTGGGATAAGGGCTGGCAGTTGTTTAGAAGAACCAAACGCTGAACTCGAGTTATGAAGCTGCAGACCAACACTATTGTCAGCATTTATCGAGCATGACCGAGAGAGAGAACCTCCACTGGGGAGCCTGTTTAAGCCACATTCTGGTTTGAGTTCCCTGTCTAACACTTGAACCACACCTGATGAATTATTTGATTGTGGCGAGAGAACTCCATAATCAATCACCGAAGATTTACTCAGACTGCCGGCGCGGCTGATGGAAGCAGGACTATCTCCCACTTGGAAATTACCTGGTAACTGAGAGGGCAATACAAGGCAAGAAGGTTGCACATTAATTGAATGGTTGACCTCAGGAGGTCCAGACCGTCTATGTTGTAGTTCCATCTGCTGCTGCTTTTGCCATTGCTGCTGTTGCATCATTGCCATTAACATGTTGCTGTTCGGAGCAGCTAGCCCAATGGGATTGCTGCTAGGGACCAGACATATATTTTTTGCTCGCTGGGATCCAAATCCGGAATGAACATCTTCAGCAGACAAGATAGATTGAGAAAGATGTTTAGAATTAGAAATGCTGGGATGGCATTTCAGCAGAGGTTGACCATAAGCCATAACTTGGTCAGCAGGTATGCACTTTGCTTGCTGCAGGGAAGCTTGTAGGAGATTCTGTATCTCTACTGCTGGTAAAACCAAGTTACTTGTCGATCTACCTAAAAGTTCGGCATGAAGAGCTGTCAAAGTTTCAGGAGGAATTTGGCCAGAGGCTGCCAGTGCTTGAATGTCAAATCTCCCTAGTGAACCAAGTTCTGAATTCTGTTCTATTGGCCCACAGAAGGTACTGGGGAGGCCACCCTGCTGTTGAACTACTCCACTTAACCTCTTCAAGTATAGCCTAAATTTCTGCATATTAGTCAACAGAAATACTTTAAAACATTCTATCGTTGAAACTAGAATTTAATGACCAGAAAGCCAAAAACAGCATGCGTCCTAAAACAGATTATTGATGGATCACATAGCACATGACATGCCCATAAGGACTTGAACGGACTATGGCACAAACAAGGTTTATGAGTGACTAAAACAAACACTACATGAGGACATGGTATTTAATATTTAGGTTTATGGGTGATAAACACAAAAGCTACATGATGTGGATTCGTCTTGGTGAATTAGGAAGATATGGGGCCTTTTAGTTCCAAGTATATAGCATCTTTACCTGATTTTCCTGAAAAGGCAACCAGAACACTAGCATTAGGTAGAAAAAAAGGGGCATTGACAACCTTAAACATGCATAGAGATTCGAACCTGCAGATGGCTTGCCACATTTTCTCTTGTCAAACCAGGAACATTCATCAGTTCAAGGATTCTCTTAGGTACAGCCTCTGCAAAGGAAGAAACAAAGCAAATTAATACATAAATAAGAAGAAAAAGATCTGAACTAACTGAAAAGTCAAAAACCGAAGTTCATACTATCAATGCCAAGTTGGTTGACTGCACTAACAAATTGCTGATGAAGCTCCACTGACCAGACTACACGTGGCTTTTTTGAAGTACTTGGGTCATCATTTTCCATTTCAGTGTCGTCTTCTTCTTTGGCTTCTCTTTTCTTCTTCTGTGGTTTTAGCACTCCATCTGCGCCTTCAATTACAGAAGAAGCACATTCAGCATCATCACTTCCTCGCTTATACCGATCATTATCATCCAAGCTACCAGAGCATTCAAGCTCTTTACTGGAGTTGTATCTTTTCCTAACAACATGTTGCCAGATATTCTTTAGCTCCTCGTCCCGTATAGGCTTAATCAAATAATCACAAGCCCCATGTTGAACTCCCCTCATGACGAGGTTGGTTCTTCCATCACCTGACATCACTGTAGACAACAAAATATTAAGTTCACAGATGAGGCATCATGCTGCCACAGCAAGAGAGGCATCACTTACTTATTACTGGAAGGTCCATTTCCAACCCAACAAGCTCAAGAAGTTTAAAACCATCCATATCAGGCATATGAACATCACTCAGTACAATATCAAAAGTCCCCCTTTTTTCGCGTAATAGGTTTAATGCCACCATAGCTTGAGTGCAAGTAGTAACTGCAAGCAATTCAAATAGTCAATGTTAGATTTGATTTTTATAACCAATAGATATGCATGAAAACAAACATTAAGCTAATATAACACTCGACCAACACAGTGTAACGACCTGACCCCTAGTTTTGATTATTTGTGTTTCAACTCATGTTTTGAGCATCTAGATATGTTGACATAGTAATTTGTGACTGGTTTGGGTTGAGACCAAGGGGTTTGGACCTGTTCCGGACAAGTTGAAAATTGAAAATTCTGATCTGATATATGGTGCTTGTGATCGCAAGGTCAGGACCATGATCACGGAAAAGGGTCACCTAGCAAGGGATCTCATTCACAAAGAATTAGGTCTTGATCGCGAAGGGGCTTGACCAGGCCTAGCTTTTATCATCAAGTAAAGGAGGATATTTTGACTCATGAGCTTTTATTATCATCCACTAAACCTAGCATATCTGAGTTGGAGATATAAAGTTACAGAGAAAGTAGGTTTAAAGGAACATAGTGTGAAAAGCCAAGAAAAACAACTCTCACTGTCACTGGGGGTTGTCACAGGGGCTTATGCAAGAAAATTTAAAGCTATTGTTCTCAATAGTTTTCTATTATGACCAGAGAAGGTTGTTACAGAGGCGTATGCAAAGTTCATTCTTGGTGAAAAGTTAGGAGCTAGTTTGGAGTCCACAACAAACGGAGGGCCTCTCGAAGATGTTTGGTATAGTTTCCAAGACCCTAACCTTATGGATACTAAGGAATTCATGAATATCATGTATGACAAGAATGGACCTGACTTTGCTGCTGCAATTGATGGAGATGTTGATATAAACATGATTCTTGGAAGTCATTTTTTGTCACTCCAGAAGATTTTGTTTTAAATGTTGCTGCTAATTCATGATGCTATTCCATATTTCCAGTCTGATCCTAAGGATCTAGCCCGACAGATGCCCACCAATGGTTTTAAATCGCGTGGCTCAAAGGCTTAACCTTCCTTTTTATGAGGTGCCAACTAGTTGGAAATTCTTTGGTGATCCAAGGGATGCTTGAAAATTGTCAATTTATGGCAAGGTAAGCTTTGGAACAGGTTCTAACCACATTCTTGAAAAAGATGGTATATAAGTTGTTTTAGCTTGGCTTTACATAATTACCTATCAGAACAAGGACAAAGATCAGGGAAGTATTCCAATGCTATTCATATAATGCGACATTTCTTATGCTGATGAGGAAAAAGAAGGCGTACAAAATTTACAGGATCTCTTGTATCTTTGTCGGACAAATTTTATCATGGTGTATCAAATTCTTTTGCTCAAGTGAACAACAGAAGTGTTGTGGTTGGTACAAGTTGTGTGTGTTTTACTCTTCTGATCCACCTCATTTCCTGTACACTAGTGAACATACGCGAATGTAACTACAATTCCAACTGCAGATGTATATGCTACTCATTCAAGACAGAAAGTTCTTGGAGCACTAATTACTCATGTGGCCTTTAGGATACGTCATAAAGTGACCTCTGCTATGATGTGATGGTTATCACAGCCTCCAAGTATTCACTGGAGCTTGTTCCACCTTCTTTTCATTTAAAGATAATTGGCATCCTAGATTACTTGGAGGTGTTCAATGGTGAAACTTACACAAGGTATAAGAAGTGCCTTTTATTTTGAGTACAAGGCCCTTGGCATCTTCTTTAGCAAATGAACTGTTGATGACATTGAGAAACCACTCATGCTTCCCAACTCCCATGGGGGGAAGAAGATGAAGATTAATCCAAGGACAAGAAATCTTTTTTTACAAGAAACAGGGGATCTGGATTGATTCCGCATTCAAGGACAAACATCGTTGCATTTCAATGATTTTCACAACTTCCATTTTATCCCAATGGAGTTGATTCAAGGACAAGAAATCTTTTTGCGAGAAACAGGGGATCTAGATTGATTCCGTATTCAAGGACAAACATTGTTACATCCAATGATTTTCACAACTTCTATTCTATCCTGATGGAGTTACGTTCCTCATTTCGACATTACCACCCTTGCAGATTAGGGTTGTTTGATGGGGAGGAGATATAATATGATCTGAATTTCTAGCACTAATCATGTGAATAGCCATATAGCACCAAGTGGTTTAGCTCATTTCAGATAAATTACTTATGGCTTAGGTTAGTAGTCAATTTTAGCTTCTCTGATACAGCTAGAAAGGTCTATAAATAAGATCTTCTCCTTCCAACGTAATTATCTTTTGAGAAATGAAGTAATCTTAGTTTAGTTTAACTCTTAAACTTGTTCTTGTTATTCCTTCTCTACTGTAATTTTTGTTAAATTTCAATGAGCTTCAATTTGAGATAGTATCATATTATTATGAGGTGAACAATAATACATGGAATGTTATGCAATGATTGCCTATTTGTCTTTAGAATCACTTATCCATGCATTCTCGATCCACAATATATCTCGCTAATACATAAATTATGCTGGTATAAGTTTAACACCACCAAACAAATGACATAATGCAATGCATTATTTGTAAGAGGATTATTTTGATTGTCTCCTTATACAACCAACCAATCAACGTATTACCTATCCAAGTTTATGCAAATTATCTTCATTGATGCAGTCCTCAAACGGCAAACCGGCAAACAGAATTCTAGTTTGAGACCGAAACCTACTTTATTAAGTTATTAAATATAAAGTAAAGGCCAAGGTTAAATTAAAACACCACAATAGAAGGAAGCAGACCTGAATACTTGCATCTGCGAAGCATTTGCTCAATAATTCGGAGGCAAACAACGTCATCATCAACTACAAGGACTCTTAACCCTAGTGGAAAGTGATCAGTGACAACCGTAGCTTCCGACTTACACGTGGCAACGTCGCCACTCATACTTACCATTGAAGACAACAAAAATGACAAAAAAAAAAGCCACACTTTCACAGAGTAGCTAAAATTACAGAAATGACACTGGTTTTACTGAACTGCAGCTGCTTCCATTAACAAGTGATCTTATGGTAGTGTTTGAAAATGCATTGTTGAGGATTTAAGAAGAAAAAGGTGAGTCAGATCCAGAGCTGAGCTGAGGGTATACAGTGTAATGGAAGGTGAAATTAGGGTTTCGATTATTGAGAAATGAAGAATGGAGGAGGAAGAAGAAGAATAGTACTAGGGT